GAGGCAGCTAGTGCATCCTAGGTAACCCCCCCCAGAAAGGAGCCCGCTTGCTAGATAGGACTGCTGACAAGTGGTCTAGACTTGGACTCGCTTCTCGCCTTCGAGAGAGAGAGAGAGAGAGAGTTAGGGCTTATGGAACCTAAAATTGCCTGTTGCTTCGTGCTCTGGGTCCCTGATTCTGGAAGTTTCCCAAAAAGAAGACGGTCCCACAAGAGCCTTCAAAGCTACCCCTTTGCAGATTGCGACGGCCCCGAAGCATGCGCCTCCAAGTTCATGCAGCTCCGCAGCAATCGCACGCAATCGGACGCAATCCGCGCTGAAGAGGCTAAGTCGTGATGGAGGGGTAAGCCCAAAACTTTAACGCCTAGGGATTCAAGCAGGATGCAAGCAGTGAGGTGCTCGTTGGGTTTCGGGACGTGAATTTTGGGGTTGCGGTGTGGAGATCAGACGTGAGGATTCAGGGTGCCACGCTCAACGGTTTTCAGAGTCTTGTAAGCTAGGCTGTGGGGCTGTATAGTACACATCAGCTAACAGGTGTTGAGGTTTAATTCGGGGATCTGCACGGGCCTTCTTGGGTTTTCTCCCAGATGTCAGGAGGGTTTAGGGGTTGGCAAAGAGTGGCGTTACAACCTGGTCAGTCCTACTACGCAATCGCATTCCCCCTCAGTCAAACGCCGCCTCCGTGTTGAAACCCGATTTCATTGGAAAGACCCCAAGCAGCAAGGTCTAGGGTCTGAGGGATAGGGATGAACCAGAAGCCGCGCAGGTGGGTCAAGCTCGTGCCGGGATCAGACGATCAGCAAGGCGAGCCAAGAAGGCAGAAGGTAGCCATGGCAGATCGCAGTGCCCGGGTGACAAACCGTGCAGGGGGGATGACGGGAGTTGCTCTCGAAACGACTGCGGTGACTATTGTGCCTGGCTGTAGCTTGGGAAGCTTTTCCATTTTGCACCGACTTGTCTAGTACATACCCTCCTTCTGCGGTGGTTCCCGGAAGAAGGCTTGGAAGTTCAATGAAATCCGACGCCGCGAAACCATGAGCCATAAGCACTTACTAGCCACTTGCCTTATAATCGAATTGCAAGCCCTAACCCTATAGCCAAGTCAAAGTGTGCGACTCCAGGCTACGACGGCGCCTGTTGCCCTTCTGACAAACCTTGCGATTCGGACGATGGGCGCTGCTTTCGAAACACCTGCGGTGACTATTGTGCCTGGCTGTAGCTTGGGAAGCTTTTTCATTTTGCGCCGACTTGTCCAGTACATACCCTCCTTCTGCGGTGGTTCCCGGAAGAAAGCTCGAAGTTCAATGAGATCCCGAAACATTCGGGCCCGAAACCTTGCTTAAACGCTTACGAGAAGCAGACTTGCCTTGCAAGCGAACTGCAAACCCTAGCTCTGAGCTACATAAAAGTGTGCGACCCAAGGCTCCGACGACCCCTGTCCGAGCAACAACTACTACAGCAACAACAACAACAACTACAACAACTACAACAACAACAACTACAACAACAACTACAACAACAACTACAACAACAACCACGGTGGCGGTGGCAGCAACGGCGGCAACCATGGCGGTGGCGGCAACCACGGCGGCGGGTGCAACCACTACGACATCATCAGCTACAGCGGCTGCCATTGCCGCTACAAGCATGGGAGCGACAAGCACTGCTACAAATTCCACTGTGGCCAGCACTGCTCCGATTTCGGCTGCTGAGAGGAACCGGCGGAATTAAAGGATCCCCTCCTTGTCGTAGGGGACATGCGCGTCTCTGATCTACCGCCGGCCAGACCGGTAACGCAGTCTCCCCCTTGAAATAAATCTTCCCGACACATTCTTGTATGCCCAATGAAACCTTGATTTTTACAAGGCCTAGCTCATCAGGGTTGTGATTGATATGCTAGGGTCTATGAGTCAGGGTATTTGGCGTTTTTGAGGTCTAAGGTTTTGCTTTCTTGGGGCTTGCGTGCCGCTTGCTACACGTCCCTCAGCTCACAAAGGGCTGGGGGGGTGCTACAGAGAGGCGGGCGGTGCTCCAGAGACGTGTCGTTTTTTGCAAGCATCTCCAGGATGTGCTGCCTCACCAGGTTTTGGTAACCTTATTTTCATCTTTGCCTACAAACCTAAACCCGATCTTTCTTGGAGAGACTCTGGCTTCAAATCCTGACCGCACCAGGGGACCAAAATTGGATCCCCCATTACAGTACTCGGGACGTTCTGGATTGTGCACGAGGTAGCGTGCTATGTGACTTTAGCCCACACTCCTGTTCATACTGCGTGTTGAAATTTTGTGGACTGCTTATTCGCTTATTCTGCAGCCGCGGCTCTCAGAGAGTGCGGACAAAATTTCAGCCCACCCTCCCATCCCGAGGGACTTGAGGCAAGCTCTTGAGCATCTAGAGGACGAGGTGTTCGACCCTTGTCTTCAGGTGTGCATGAGCATTGCTTTCAATCGCTCCACTTGTGTGCATGTGACAGCACCCCAAAGTTCGTTTGCAGAACTCCTTGCTCAGCAGTGCAACCGAGCTCTGAAGTCCCTGTGTGCTAGCAGTAAAATGAAGGAAGGGTCTGTGCGAGTGACTGCCACTTCATATCACATATTCTTGTTTCTGCATATATTGCCATTTTTTATTGTGACGGTTTTCAGTGGAAAGATTGCTGATGAAATAAGCACCCAGTCTTGATTCATACCTTGATTTTGTCCACTCCCATTCCCTCACTGGGCGAGGGCGGTTGATCCCGTATGTTCCCATGACTGAAATCTGGCCGCCTTATCAGGCGACTCCAGACCGCCTCTCCTTAGCAGCTGATCCCATTCTGATATTCCGCGTCATGGAAATTAAAGTGCAGACTTAAGCCCAAAACCTGAAACGTTAAACCTTGCTAATAAGTTCTAAACATCCCTAGATCCTTTGCCACCAACATCCTCTTTTCCTGGACCCGTAAATTGCCTCGCACTATGCGTCTGCGGCCTCGTGCAACAAATCGCAATATGCATGCAAGATCGCCTGACTACTGCCGCAACCTTCATCCGTTCTGTGGGCCGCTGCGAGGATATAGGTTCTACGAAGCAACAAGTTTCGAATGGCAGCAGACAGTTACTTGCTTACTTGCTTATTTGCTTCCAGGCAAGTAGGCATGAATGAAATAGAGTTAAGTTGGGAATGTCATGGCCTCGGGCGTAGTGCAGGTCGCGATATCATTTCGCAGAGCTCCCCAGGCCAGCTTATCCTGAACTCAACACTTCAGTTCTCAACCTGTTATTTCCCACAAGTATTTGATGCAATTTTTAGGTTGGAACGCATTGCGCTCCTCGTATCTCCTCGCGGCCTGAGCAGCCTGACATGTCGGCGGGCTTGTTGAGCATGACGTGTTGATACTGATGCTTTGCTTGTGACTTCCTTTGTCAAAGCCTCCCGTGGCCACCATGACGCATTGCAGCATAGTCCGTGGCGGCTTGGCTTTGCAGTGTGTTCCGTGTTTATGTTGCTGTATCCCGAACCCTAAACAGGGAAGCCTTAAAGGATCTAAACAGGCAAGCCTTAAGGGATCCCTCACAATTACCATCAAGGGTACGAGGAAGGGTTATGTTTCGAAAGACTGTTCTGTTGGTTTCATGCTTGCGCAGCAACGCTTTTTGATGTATTTGGCAGACTTGTCTGGATAGCTCAGATCCAACCTGTATCAAATGAGCCTTCGCGAAATGGGAGCACGTGGGATCATTAGCTTAATGCCGACGATCTTGCGTAATGTTGTGATGTGACTGTCGTGATTGTTGATTGCTCTTGCTGAGTTACTGCTTTGGTGGCCGCTCTGGTGCTTTGGACCCTCTTTTCTCTGCAGCTGCGCTGGCATGAGCTCGCTGCCCTTACAGCTGCGCTTGGCCTGATGGATCCGGGTCCGATCCGCCTCAAGGCGACGGCGTGGCCAAAGCCCAAAATAGATGCTGAAATCAGACAAAGACTTGAACGCTAAGCTGGAGCTAACTAACTATAAAGCCTTAGACCATGCACTTGAACTTCTCTCCCAAGATCCCAAGCAAAATATCGCAGGTGCTGATGGTACGTACCATTGGGGGAAAAGAGGTGGAGTTCACGAAGGATGACATCAGATCTTTGGCGAAAAAGACCATCGGTATTCAAACCGCCAACACGTCCCACTGTGCTGCCCGGAAGCCACCGGGGCTTATTGCCAAGTTAAGGCGAAATCTGCCGCTGGACCAGTGGCCAGCAGATGTTGTCTGCTACGCAGGCATCACACAGCTCCAAATTGACTTGCATGTGATCCTCCTGGTGTGGGAGGATAAGATTCCCAAGCTTGATACGTCGGACCTTCCGCTGAACGTATCGGTGATCTTTGCACCGAAGAGCCGGAAGATCGATGCTTGGCTATCGCATCTGACCGCGACGGCGCTATCCACCTACGACCCGTGGTCTCCCTATTAGCACAACTTTTGCCCTTCTTCTTTCGGCGTCTCTCTTTTTCTTCAATCCGAAGAGTAGGGATAGGAAAAAGGGTGCCTTTTTTTTTAAGGGGCTACGACCCCAAACCCCCAGGCCCTAAACCTTTGACCCTAAACCCGCAACCAAAAGGCCTTAAACCCTTGACCCCGTAACCTAAGGACTATCTCTGGCTGGCAGATGGAGATGTGTCAGTGTCGGCGGCGAACTGGTTTGCCTTTTGGGCAAACATGCTGTATCTTGTCGTCGCCTTTACTGGGAGAGGCAGAGAACACTTATCAACCCTAAACATAACCCTAAGCCCACGCCGTTTTGCCAGTTTTCTTTTCGAACGACATCCCCCGAGCCACGTGCCCGAGGTATTATAAGCCACAGATTGCTCAGCCCGCCGTCGTGGCTGAAGAGAAAGCCAAGATTCATGTCACATTTCACCAAAAAGGGAAGGCAGCCCAAGATCTGGACATAGTTCAGACACGCGGGAGCGATCACGTGGTCCTGCAAATTCCAGGTGACGAGCCGGACGTCTGGGCCATTGATCCCAGCTTGGTCGCTGCCGACGTGGGGATCATCGAGATAATGACGCCGGTGCTCACCCCTACGGCATGGTTGGCTTTGAGGGAAGATCTTCTCAGGAACAGCAAGGCCATGCATTGGATTGCGCAAGGCGCCACATGGTGCGTGGATGTCAAGTGATGTGACTTGGCTCGTACAACTGTGCTTGGTTTGGAAGCCGCAGGGGAACCTGACCTCAGTATCGAGGCTGCGCCCCAGAAGCTTCTTGGCATGATTCTTAGCATGGTCAAGCTTAGCACGGATCTGAAAGCATGTCTTGGTTTTTAGGGATATGGGCTGGCCCTTTTCTGCTCTTACATAAGTGTCAGTATGTGGTGTAACAGTGTAGACATGGCGGAGCAGTCCACTGCCCACTTGTGAACGGGAGTGCGACTCCTAGCCAAATGCTGGAAGTAATGCCTTTGGCCAACATCCCCTCTCAACTGGCCTTTCCTCCACCTTCTGGCCAAGAGTTCGAGCAGAGGGACGGCATAAGTTAGCACCGGGGGGGCCGTTCGAGATTGAGCAAGGTTCTTAAAAAGGACATTCACGTCCAGTCTAATGGAAAAGCTTCGGGGTTTAGGGCTTTAGGTTTTGGGGTAAGTTTAGGGGTTTCCAGGAGTTTGGGGCTTCGGGTTGCAGGCAGCATGCAACCTTCCAACACCAATCATGCGCTGAACCCGAAAGGCCCCTTAGACCTAAGCACTAAGCTCCCTAAACCCTCGAGTCCGCTGGGATTACTAGGTGGAAGAAGGAGTTCAAAAAAAAAGAAAGCCCTAGAGTCAAGGCTGCCTGGCGAGCAGCAGGGGGAGTCGCGCGAACCGTCTGCTTGCATGGTCTTCTACCAGAGCTTTGGGCTAATTTTGCACCTTTTACGTGGGTTAGATGAAAACCCTAACCCCTAAACCCCTAAACCCTTAAACCCTAAACCCTAAACCCTAAACCCCTAAACCCCTAAACCCTAAACCCTAAACGAGAGGTTTTGGGGAACCTTTCCGGGTTCGGGGTTTAGGGGGTTAGGGTTTCAGGACTGAAGGGTTAAGGGGCTAAGAGTGTGGGCTTTCGGTCTAGAGCTTGGGCTTTCGATTTAGAGTTTGGGCTGTCGGTTTGGGCTTTAGGGTTGGGGCTTTCGGGTAGTTGTTCATGTCGACCCCAAGAAGCAAGTTGAAATGGTAATCTATCTAGCCGTCTGAGATGAAGTGAAGGACTCCTGTGCGTCATCACAACTTTCAATCGCTGAAGAAATCGATGTTCGAGCAGAAGAACAACGAGTTGTGTGGCGAGCTTGCGGTGGGACTGAGAAATACAACGCTTCGGCGCGTCTATCGCACCTTCCACGAGTCCGATCTGAGAGCAAGTTCGCTCGCGAAAACCAGTCCTTGCCAAGCTGACTTTTGCACTGAAACTTAAAGCTGGAGATTCGACATCATGTAGACAATATAGCGGCAATATATGACTGTAAAACGTTACAATGAAGGATATTGCGGTTTAGTACTGCTGAACGGTATATAATTATGATCATACAAATATGTTATATTCTAATATAGAATAATGAGATGCTATAATATATTATCATATGTTTTTTTTATGTGGTCCCTATTTAGATCTCATGAATATTTGATAGTATCCCAAGGCTTGAGATTGGGGGGGGGGGCATCGGAGGCCAAATATATCTTCATCAAATTTGAAGGTTTAAGATTAACAATGAAAGATTCAAGATTTACGAATTAATTTTTAAATGATGATATATATATCAAAAAGATTGATATGATTCTCATAAAATTTGGACTGATAATGATAATCACAATAATCTCTCCAATTCAAACTATGATATAAAAAATAAGATATTTTAAGATTAAGAAAATTTCTCATTAGATTATTAATTTTATTATATATATGTATTTTTTCATATTGTCATATTGAAATTTATTTAAAAATTCATATTGATATTTAGATATTGATATTTTCATATATAAAAGATATTCTATAATTGGATTGGATCTTCGATATATATATATATCTATTTCTCGATTGATATTTATTTTTATATGATAATTCATATACTTCTTTCTCTGACTTGTATATTTCTTATTAATAAGAAATATTTTCTTTCTTCATGAAGAACATATTAATATATTGAAAATTTTCATTAATAGAAGATATAAAAAATTAATATTATACTTGTATCTGAATTTCTGTATTTTCTTGAAATTTGATTTTTCGAGATAAGAAATACGCTATTTGAATTATTGCCTGTATTATTATGCTCTTATAATTTGGATTTCTTCTCGAATATGAATATTTTATATGACTTAGAAATTCTAAATTTGAATGATTTTAGCCGATATTCTTATGAAAATTATCTATTTATTTCTGATATTCTTATTCTTATTATTATGAGATATTCTCATGAATATTTATTCGATTAATCTGAATTGCAAATTATTATTGGGATTATTCCTAGAAATCGAAGATTGTATAAAAAATGATCTTGAGATGAAATATTTATATTAAGATCTATATTTCATATATTTGATTGAAATTAGATCAAATCTCATAAGAAATAAATTGAATTCTTGATAATGGACCAGAGATCAAGAAAATTCGAATCACGAATTCTTGTTTTCTTGATTATTCGAATGTCTATGAATCTACGATCTATTAAATAATTTGATTTCAAATAATTTTTTAATTCACATCTATATATCGATAGATATATATATATATATTGAAAGATATGCTATCCGTTTCCTAAATATGATAATTAGATTATGATCAATATCTGGAATCGAATATTTTGAATTTAATTATGAAAGATTATGGAGATCTTATATTATGGATATTTTGAGAACAAATATTTATAAAATAAATAAATAAATAAATGAATATATATATATATTGAATTTTAGATATAGATTCTTTTTTCAACTGATTTCTATATATTGACAAGAACAAATAAAATATAGATTGTGGAATCTTCTATTTCGATAATATGATAATTGAATTAAAATCGCTATTTAGAACCGAAAATTCTGAAATTAAATATGAATTCATGAAATATTCATAAGAATCTTAAGATATATCTTCTACCAGAAAAAATTGTTAATCTTAGATAAAAAATTAAAGATCAATTTGATTTTATATTGATTCCTCTTTATCTATGATCTGCTAAATAGATGGACCGAATACATATATGATAATCTTCATATTTATTTATTTCTTTCAATTCATATTCAATTCAGATCTATATATCAAGAATCATAAATAGATTATTGGCCGCTTCAATTCTCGAAGATAGCTGCAAATTATTTTTATCCGATTATTCTGAGATCTTACGTTATTATAGATTTATCATGATATTGAATATTCGATATAGGTCTCTCCAACGGGACCTTGCTAATATTTCTGTTGATTTTTTCAAGATTTTTTTTCAATCATTCTTGAGAATGGTGAATAATTTAAAGAAATTTCAGAAATAGAAAATTTCGATATGAAAGAAATTATATATAAAAATTGAATATTGAAATATAAATAATAGAATATATTTTAATAAGATTCAATAAATCTAATCTTCTATGATTCATGATATATATATAGCCTAAATCCAAATTCAAACTTATCAATTTGAATGATAGAAATTAATCAATAAGAATATAATATAACAAAATAATATAAAGATAAGAATGAATATTACGCCGGGCCAATAGTTCGATCCACTAGCTACAACAACAAAATTAACCCCTACCCCTACCCTCTTCCCCGTAGACTCCTAATACAAGTGAGCCCTGGGACCTCCTCCGGAACTAAAAAGTATTAT